TTTCCTCGGAAATGGAGAAGACCGCCGGAGACGGCCCACTCGTCAGAACGTGAGGAGCGGGGGCCTCGAGCTTGACCTTGAACCTTAAGAAGTTGCCGGGCCGTTAGTGCGACGGGCTCCTCCAGGTCAGGCTCACCGGAGAGGGCATCACGGATGTCGCGGAGGAGTTCAGAGCCGGGACCGGAAACGGAAACGCCCTCAAGTGCGCGGACGTGGAAGAGTTCAGGCCGCAGAAGGACGACATCGGAGTTGTCGGAATCGACTCCGTGGTCGGGTCTCCGGGAGAGGGGCGTCAGGCCGACCCATATCGCGGCCAGGCTTGTGGTGCAGCGTGAAGTCGAACCGGGAGAGGTACAGAGACCACCGGGCCTGTCTCCGGTTGAGGTGCTGCGTCTTCCTGAAGTACTCCAAATTCTTATGGTCAGTCCAAATCTCGACAGGGTGCGGCGCCCTCGAGGAAGTGTCTATACTCCTCGAGTGTGCGGATGATCGCGAGCATCTCCTTGTCGTGGATTTTCGTAGTTGCGCTGGACATCATTTAAGCTTTTGGAATAGAATGCTACAGGGTGCCACTTCCCGTCCGGGGCGGATTGTGAAAGAACCGCCCCCGTCGCATAATCAGAGCTGTCCGCCTTGAGTCGGAAAGGCCGTGCGTCGTCCGGAATCGCCAGGACCGGTTCCGAGGTGACCACGTCCTTGATCGCTTGGAACGCGGAGGCCTCCGTGTCGCCCTAAGTCCATTGCTGGTCCTTCTTGGTGAGCACGAAAAGAGGGCGCGCAAGGGTCGAGAAGTCCCGAATGAACCTGCGGTAGAAGTTAGCGAACCCAAGGAACTGCTGAATGTCCTTCTTGTTTTCCGGAGTCGGCCAAGCGGAGACGCCTGCGACCTTGACGGGGTCCATTTCGACGTGGTTATGGGAGATGATAACTCCGAGGTACTCGATTGACGATTTTTCAAAGTCGCACTTCTCCGCTCGGAGGTACAATTTGTGCTCCCGGAGTCGCCGTAAGACCTCCTGGACAATCTGCCGGTGTTTCCGGAGGTCGGAATGGGCGATCAGGATGTCGTCAAGGTAGATCATGACGTCTCCGGAGAGGATGAGGTCCTGAAAAATATCATTCATCATCGTTTGGAAAGTCGCGGGAGAGTTTGTCAGGCCGAAATACATCACCAAGGGCTCGAACAGGCCTCGGTTAGTCCGGAAAGCTGCTTTCCACTCGTCACCTTCGTTGATCCTGACGTTGTTGAAGCCCCAACGGACGTCGAGTTTGGTGAAGTAACGAGCGCCTTTGAGCCGGTTGATGAGGTCGTTGATCAGCGGAAGGGGGTACCGGTTTTTGACAGTCATCGCGTTGAGGGCACGGTAGTCCTGGACGAAGCGGAGTCCGCCGTCCTTCTTCTTGATGAAGAAGACCGGAGATGCCATCGGAGACTTGGAGGGGCGAATCCGGCCCGTCGAAAGCCCTTCCTCGATGAACGCGTCGAGCTCGCGTTGCTCGAGGGGCGAGATGGGGTACACCTTGCAGTTGGTGGGCTTACCGTCGGGGACAAGCTCAATGGCGTGGTCCCAGGCTCTCCGCTCCGGTAGCGTGTCGAAGAACTCCTTGTTGAAGACGTCCTGGAACTCCTTAGCCCAGTCCGGGATCTCGGAGGGCGGTGGGGCGGAGTTCTTGGCGAAGGCTTCGGCCAGACGCTGTGAGACGGTGCTACCTGCACGTATCTCCTCTGAGGGACGGAACGAGGTGTAGAAGATGCGGTCACCATCTTCAAGCTGGTCACCTTTGTCGTCCGAGTCCGAGTCCGGTGTCAGATCAGGCAGGTCGGAATCGAGACCGGAATCGGAATTGTCTCCGTCCTCAGGGCCAGAGAGGTCCATAGTGCAAACCGAGGGGAACGGGCCGGAGCGGAGACGCTTCTGAAGCGACCAGAGTCGCCGCAGCTCAGTCCGTTCGACGTGCTCTTCCTCACGGCAGGTCGAGCAATTGCGGGGGCACCGTGTCATCTTGACCTCCTTGGTTTCCCAATTGATCTCTGGGTTATGTTTCCGCAACCAGGAATACCCCAGGATGAGGTCTTGCTTGCCAAGACGGGTGACGGCCAGTTGAACTCATTCGGCATGGCCCTTGTAGCGCAGGACCAAGTCCGCGATCTGTTTGATGGAGCCAGTGTCATTGGGGGTGCCATCGACATTGAAAACCGGAATCGGCTGATCGAGGGTGCGGACCGGAATGCCATTCCGAGCAACATAGTTCGTGTCAATGAAGTCGGAGGTGGCACCACAGTCGACAAGCCCAGAGAGTGAGAGCTTCAGCGCGCTGGTGGTGGACTCTAGCTCCAACGGGAGGTGGAGGGAGGGGGGCGCGGGCTGCGGGTGGCACGACCGGAGCCACCGGGCGGAAGGGGGCCGGAGCCGGGATGCGGTTGACCGGAAACGGAGTCCGAATCAAACCGCCAGGCGTCTTGGGGGCGGCTGACTTGATCAGCTTGGCCCGGACCAGGGCCTCGTATTGACGGAAGGCCCGGGTGCGCCAGCTAAGGTAATCCCGGAGGTCCGGGGGGTCGTTTGAGGACGTGATTCCGTTGTTGATCAAGGGGTCAAGTCCGTGGCGGAACTTGGTCACCTTGACCAGCGCGTCTTCGAATCCGGCGAGGTCCATCAGGTCCTCGAAGTCGTCGGTGTACTGGTAGACATCCTTTGTACCCATGTGACAGGCGGAAGTCTCCAGCTTGGAGAGAGCGTGATCTTGCTCGTTCTCCTCGACAGACCGGAGTCGAAACTCGGAAACGAACGAGCCCCAGGATGGAAACGGAAACGGGGCTTTGCTTCCGTGTGTATGGGCAACCCCGGAGGCCTGAGATCAAGGTCCTAGCAGGGGAGGATCCAATACAAATGAAGCTGACCTAGCAGGGGAGGATCCAAAGAGAAGAAACTCTAAGGGTCCGCCTGCTAGGGAGCTGACTATATACTGCTTGTCCGTAGCTGCCGCTGTCGGGCACAGAAGGCTTGGGCGGCGTCGCAGGCGAGGTCCCAGGGCGACCGTCGGGAGGGCGTTGACGGATCGGTGATTGTGCAGGCGAGATGGAGGGCCGGACCGGAGTTGGAATCGGAGTCAGACCGGAATCGGAGGCGTCTCCGAGGGGCCGAAAGGGAGGTTCCCCTGACACCGTGGCGCTCCGCCCATTGCTGAGCGGGTCCTTCTGCCATAAACAATATGGCGGAGTCAGACCGGAATCGGGCGCGTCTCCGGGCCGGAAGGGAGGTTCCCCTGACAGAATACATATGTGGGAAGCACGTGACTGAGAAGCGTCGACAGCTACGAATGGGCGCGGGTCGCCTGGGGTTAGCGAATGCACAACGATTAGGCTTCCTGAATGCAAGGCCTAAGTAGGGAGGAAGAAAAGGACAGAACACGCACCCAACGAGGACCCCAATGGCCAACAGCCTTCCCGACCATCGCAGCAAGCATAACGCCCCGAGGCAGTCGGTTGCAGGTCGGAGAGAGAGGAGGAGAGAGTTGGGGGATGTGGGGGGGAGGGAAGAAAGCAGCGAAAAAATCACGCCATCTGTCAGGCGTTGTCATGGAGGAAAAAGATGATCAGTGATGAAATGATTGATTTGGGACTTAGGGAATTTTTCCAAGGCAGATCCTGGCATGATTTGCAAATTCTGTCAAATGTCTGGCACCAGCCGGAAGAGCTGTGCCAGCCACACCAGATTGATCACAGAATCTGGAAGGCCCTTGACAGGCTTGCCAGGGCCTCCAGCGAAATGAAGTTTTCCTGATGTTGTCAAGCTGTTGCTAAGCCCAACTCGACACCAGGGGATGGGGGGGGGGGTTGCTAGGAGGTTAGGAGTAGCAAAACGACCCGATCCGCACCTTCGATCACCAATAATGACCAGGGACTGAGTTAACAGGCCCTTTCGGTGCACATCTACCCTGTAAGCAGAGCGAGCAGGCCCGACAATTCATCTGTTCTGTTCCTGGTGCACAACAGAACACGCGAAGGGAGAAACAGACTGATTACTAATGTCTTAATCAACAAAATAAGAATGACAAAAAAAAGTTAAAACCACTCGACGACTACGCACAACCCTCCCCTTTCTGTCCCGCTGAAAAAAAAAAGTATTCAGAAACTCTAACTTTTTACATGGAAAAATTGTGGAAACAGCCCAGTGTGTAGTGGTGGCCTATTATAATATTGCACTGGGGTTTTAGCCAGAAAATGGTCTCATAAGCAGAATTTATATATAAGAAATAGTAGTCCAAAAACAATAGCCTTTCTTTGCTGCTTTGACTAATATACGATAAAAGTTGCAAAAATTGTATCTGATTTACAAGAAATCAAGTTCTGTATTGGGGTATCAAATATAGCATATATTGTGACTACCCCTTTTTGACCATGGGGTTAATATAACAATAACAATAATAATGATAATATATTATAATGTATGATTCTGATTTAATGCACTTTTGACATCTCCTGCTGGAGTTTAGAGTCCACCATAAGCAAAGTTATTATTAGCTTAATTGAAAAGTTTAAAACCTCCCCCAGTTTTGCCAGTTTTGTTCCAATTTCTCGGGGTAAGGCCCGCTACCGCATGGCGAGTGAAGAGTTCACTCAATCATTGCGATCTGGCGACTGCTTTAGGAAGTGCTTCGGCTGAAATCCCCTGACGGTGGGATTAGATGCCGGCGGCAATGCCTAGAATCACCGCTGCGCCTTTACTACTTAATCTCTGTACATGTAAGTTCCTGTGGAGGTGCGTGTTACTGCGGGGCCTTAACTTGCGCCTTAGAGCCCAATGCCACATTTGCCCCACCTCAGTCCAGGATCTTCCAGGATCCACCCTGAACGACGAGTCTTGGCGCGCTCGCCCGTGCAACCCATCTTAACCTATTCTTGCACATCGGCCCATGTGGCGATGAACATCGCCGCGGATCCGCGTCTCTTGGCGGTGCGCGCAGATTTATACGTTTCTCACCAAAGTCTGCACCCCTTTTGTTTCCTCACTACCATGATTCACGTCCTCGCGTTCGCCGCCGCCTTCCTGTCCATCGTCAATGCCACGGTCCGTCCCGTTGTCGCCCGTATACCGCTTGCTGACATGAATATCCACTACCAGCCCGCGCCGTCCCTCGCCCGACTCGTGTCGCGCGCTGGCCTCTGCACAGAGGAAGAGAGCGCGATCGACGGCTACTACTTCGGGATGGCGATCGCCTCGCTGATGGCCTTCCTCGTGTTCTTCCTTGGCGGCTTTCTGTGCTTCCGTCAGCGCCGCCTGCGCACCGCCCTCGCCACCGTCACCGTGCTCCAGCAGGAGGTCTCACAGTTCCGCGGCGCCCCGGTCGCGACCAAACAGCCCGCGTAATTTTGAAGTTGCTCGTGAAATTTAATTTTGAGGCGACGATGCTTCTGTACCAGTATATTATGCACAGTTGATATATTGCCTGTGCCACTTTCATGGATTCGAAGGATGCAACTGCGAGGACGAGGGACTTGAGAGCGTGGACAGTACCAGGTTCTGCCCACTAGTTAGGTCAGCTCAAATTTGCGGCGGACCAGTGCATGTTCTTAGAAACCCGGCGGTAGGTTTGCCTGCCTGGAAGGGAGTGACGAAAAGATAGGTTCAAGTTCATACATGGGTCACCGTAAGGACAGCACTATGATCTTGTAGAGATTCCGAAGGACCTGGAGGAGATGGAATCTCAATAATTTCAGAGAATCGAAGACAAGTGCGTGAGGAAAAAACGCTATCTGTACCTGCTCTGTGCTCGCACACCGCAAAAGCCAAATTATGCAGCGCGCTACGGTGGACATACGCGCTAGGGAATGGATGACCGATGCTCGAACTCGCAGGCGCGGAGAAGTGCTGCCTGAGTGCTACGGGCCGAGCTTGCCGGGTGAGGAGGATGCGACGGAGCGCAGCGCAGAATATGTGGGGCGTCTGCTGCCATTTTAAGCCGAGAGGAGGATGGAATGCCGCATAGCGCTTCGCGACGACGGCGAGAACTTAACCACGTATACGTCGTTGATTAAGGAATGAAGTACATCCGGCCCTCTATTCGAACCGGGTCGAGTTTGTGGGCAAGGGCAACGGCGTGCCTGGCGCAATACGCCCCGGCCCGCTAAGCCCGATCTTCCCCGGGCGGCACATCCCTCCACACGCCCTTCGCGGCATGCATCAGCTCATGCAGCTGGCCGAGCTGCTCCGTCGACATCTACACCCAAAGGTTATCCTGTAAGTCCTTGTAACACTCGTTACACTACCACGCACCTTCTCAAACGCCGTCGCGTCTAGTTTCCGCCCGCGCCACTCTTGCGCGCCTGGCCCGCGGGGGAGCGCGTCGAGGTACATCTTCCACTGCGCGAGGAAGCCCATCACGTGGACCGGATTCGTCGTCTCGCGATGCCGCCGGAACTCTGTCCTCCGTCAGCAATGGGGTGGGGAGACAAGGGCACACACCGTCCTTGACGTAGCGGTCGCCCATGTACCGCAGGTCCGCCGCGAGTCCGCGGTGGGCGCGGAGCAAAGCGCGGAGTAGTCTAGTGGAAGAAAAAAAACACCTCAGCGGGCGAAAGACGTGGTAGGACACGGGAGACGCACGGTTTAGGCGGGAGGAGCGCGGCGGCGACGTGCTGCGCGTTGAGCGTCTGCCGCGAGGCCTCCGCGAGACAACGGCGGGCGGCGCGCATCGGTACTATATGGTAGGTATCGAAGAAGGGATGGATGAGTCAGCAGAGGGTCACGGTCATGTGGGACGCCGGGATCGGCCCGGGTGCTGGACACGACAACTTGAAAATGAGATGAAATGAGGAAGTGGACATGGTTTGCCTTGTATAAAGGATCATCTCTGTATTTGTTTAATTATAGTGCAATACTGAATATACTTGAATTTATGACTTAAATACCACTGGTGGGTATACTAGTATTAAATACCACTGGTGAATATACCTGCCAGTGGTAAGTACGGTTCCCCGTCCTTGACTCCTTGCTATTCTCTCGTGAAAATATAGCACACGCGGTCCGCCAAATGTGCCCAGTCTACTGGTACACATGCATCGTCGGCCTCAAAGAGTTGTGTGAAGCCATCTTTCACATTAAAATTCGCTAGCGCTCCGAGTCCGCTCCTCCGTCAACTTTGAACACTACGGCGGCCCGGGCCGTTTCGCCGCGACTTGGGCGCGGAGCTGCGCGATCTCCTGCTGGAGCACGGCGACGCTGGCGAGGGCGGCGCGCAGGCGGCTCCGGCGGACGAAATAAAAGCCGCCAAGGACGAACAGGAGGAGGCCCATCAGCGAGGCCATCGCAATCCCGAAGAGGAGCCCGACTTCCGCGCCCTCCTCCTCGGAGCAGTTGCGCGATACGAGTCGGGCGAGGGACGGCGCGGGCTGGTAGTGGATATCTATGTCAGCAAGCGGTATACGGGCGACAAAGAGACGGACCAGGGCATTAACGACGGAGAGGAAGGCGGCGGCGAACGTGAGGAGGTGAAGCATGGCAATTCGTGTCTAGGGTGAGGAAGCAAAGAAGGAGTGGGTCGGTCAAGGCCAATACGTGCGCGGCCAAGGGTGTTTATAGCCACACGCACAGCCTGAGTTTGGGAAGTTCGTCGCCGGGTTCCATGGGCGAGCGCGCCAAGACTCGTCGTTCAGGGTCCGAATTTTGTGAAAGCAGCTTTTAGCAACACGAGTAGTAAAGGCGCAGCGGCGAAATCTAGCCATTGTTTTCGGCATCTGATCACACTCGTCTTAGCATTGCGAAATATTATTTATTCTCTTGCGCGCCTGCGCGGAGTTGCGCGCGAGCTCCTGGCGGAGGACGACGGCAGAGTCGACGGCGCTGCGGAGGCGGCGGCCTTTGCGGACGTATACGATAGCCTCGGCAACGACAAGGATGAAGCTGACCAATGTGCCGAGGGCGAGGAAGACAACGGGGAAGATCTGGTCGGGGTCGGTTTCGCACATGTACCCCTTTGTCGGCGGGAAGGTGGTTACGGCTGGGGAAGGGGCCTGCGATTTGGCGCGTATGAGCACTGGGGGCCGGGAGCAGGGAGGAGGCCCGGGGGGGGGACATACCTGGGCGTGCACACTCCTGAGCGCGAGGAGAATGGCGAACATGGCGAGGTGGACCATGGTTTCAAGTTCGCGGCAAGTTGAGCGAGGCGCGTATAAATACCGTAATGCACTGGCATGTGGGATCGTCCGCGGCGCGCCTGAGTTAGAGAAACTGTCCCTGGTCTTGGCGGGGGTATGCGCTCTTCGTACCACTGCGTGGCATGTTGGTGGCATGTAAGTACCAGCTCGGGCGATGTTATGCGTCAACACTCAGCAGTCAGCACAGCACTGGAACGCTTGCAGCTTCAACGGGCAGCCGCGATCCATCCGCACGCACTTCATCACATCCCATTGACTGCGGCTGCGGGCTCGTCGGCCACCAGCTCGGTGACTAGCAGTGTGTAGGCTAGTAAGAGCGAGCGTCGACGGCCAACCCGTCGTTGTTGTCCTCGTTGTCAAGAATCAAGAAGGAAAATTACATTCGTCATGTAAACGAGCGTTGTGATACGCGACGTGTCAAAATGCACGTGGGTCGCTAAGCCTTCTTTGCTCTTGACAACGCGTACTTGATACGAGCAGGTTCAGGGCCCGGGACCCCAGGCGTTCGCAAAGCCGTGGCCGTGGACAGTGTCACAGAGAGTTCGCTGAATGTGCCAGGGTCATACGTCGCGTCGTCGGCAATCACGACTCGGCGCATCAGATCGTGAGCGATTTTTTTCTTCGTCCACCCCGATCGCGGACGGGCCAGTAGCAGCCGCCCATCGCTATGCCCGAACCGCGTCCAGCGCGCCGCCGCACAGCCACACATGGTCATGAGCGCAGCTGCGGCCATCGCCGCGGCGCCGCAGCAGCCAATGGCAGCCGCGAGATTATCACCGTCCGTTGCCAGCCATCATCTTTTTCGACCGGCTAATAGTTGCCTCGCAACACGGTGTCCGGGGTCCCTAATCTCGGTCCCAGATCTTCAAGGGCGCCGGGGGACGTGCCGGACGTGATGCGAGGACATGGCATCACACATCATGTCAGAAAAAGCGCCCTAGAAGATCTGGTGCAGTTTGCATCAGGACCCCCGACAACCCCCTTAGAGGCCGGAGTCTGGGTTTGGGGGTTTTTACCCGGTCTTTTTCAGGCCATTTTAGCCCGTTTTTACCCGAATTTTGCCCCCGGGCTCCGCATAGGTCCCATTTTTACCCAGTTTCGACCTCCGGCCTTAGAGGGTAGTGCCAAAAAACCCCCGAGCTCAGAAACACGCTGGGAAAGCATTTCCTGGCTGGAAAGCCAACCCAACGCATAATTGAACAAAGTCGGCAGCCTAATAGGGGCTCGGATATGCATGGAGGATGGCCAGTTACGCCAAGAAGAGTTAGGGTGGATGTTACCCGGTCGGGCCTCCGGCCCCCCAGAACACGGTCATTTTTACCCGGCCTTTTACCTGAGGCCCCCGGCCCAATTTGGGCCGTTTTTACCCAGTTTACCCCCGGCCTTAGCCAAAATTTCTTCAAATTTTACCCAGTCGGGCCTTCGACATGTAAGGGGGTTGTCGGGGGTCCTTTTGCATCAGAACCTTGCGCGTGCTTATCACGACAGCTTGTATCAATAGATTGGCGACGCGTAGTCTTATCAATTTAATCATTAGGTCTTTGTCTGGTGTTCTTGCGCTGCTCTCTGCATCTCTTCCGCCCCATCCTTCGATGGAGGACCTCAGCTTTCTGCACGCGGACCCAGACGAGGATCCCATCGATCAGCCAGAGAGCGATGACGACGATGATGGTGTGATCCATGCTACCTTTCCATCAAATACCACCCGCGAGTCTATCCACGCTGCCAATAGTGCATGGCTGCGCGAGCGACTGGGCATGGGGTCAACGCGGATACTAGACAAGGTTCTTGTGGTGCTGGACTGCTTGAAGGGGGAGAAAATGGATCTTCCGATCTTTCTTGATGCCTTGCTTTGGGGCGACTCGGAATGCATTGCTGATGGCAAAGGCCAGTATGCTCGGACAACACTCATGACGAGCGAGTGCTTTCCAAGCATATTGGAGCGGTGCCACAAGCCTCCACGGCCATCTGGTGGTGCTGTACCTGTTGCAGGGGGCCCTGTGCTGGAGAAGCTTGCTGTGGATTTAGTTCAGCGTGCTGTTGACAAGGAGATGGAAGCATTGGCGCCACTTTTCCGCTCACCTCGTGATGCCCTCACAGGGGAGAGGCTTGTTGAGATAGATTTTGGGGAGCTTAAAGCTGAAGCTCAAAAATTGGCGCCAACTTTGTGGAATGTGCTGCGGACAGCAGCCTACAGGCCGGCCCAAGCAAAGAGAAATAAACGAAAAAATCCTGACCTGGTATGTATATGTATATGCACCCGCAGGTCACAGATATTCTGAATATTTTAGGTTGTGCTCCACATGATCTCCCAAGCCCAGTACACACGATCAAACCGCCGTGCCTGTATTGCAAAGTTATGGTCAATCTATTTAAAGGCCTGTGGTGTTCCTGTCCGTGCCTTTGATGCGCTCCATGCTATAGGCCTTGTTATGAGCCACAAATGGACTGTTGAAGCTCTCAAAGGGCTTTCTGACACGGCACTACATCTGATCCAGCAATTCATCCATCTCTATCCCTGGCTTATTACGCACGACAATATTAATCTGGCAATGCGCGTCTTCTCTCAATGTCTCAACAACCAGGGCAACTTTATTAGTGGTTGTGCGTTCACAATTTACCTACTACCTAGCCATGCTATGCTCTCGACCAGCATGAATCGGGAGATGCAAATATTCCGAGCTCAGCATGCGACCCAAGTATTTGATTTTGGAGATGTACTGTATGGGACACCCGACTGCGACCTGCGCATGCAACACCTTGATGAACATTATATCCTCCAACTTCTCTTGGATTCCCCTGATTTCGCCGACTACCCTCATCTTGATGATGTCCTTTTCAATTCTCCTCAGCCAACTCATGCACTACCAACTGGTCCTGAAAATGCAGTTAAAATGTTTCTACTCCACACTGCCGAAATTGACGAGTCTACCTATGAAGGCACTCTGAAAGTAATTGATAGTGCCTTTCAGCAGCTCAATATCAATTCACCAGATGAACAACAACGCACAGGACTTGAGCGCTTTATTGCCTGGATTGGGGACCAGCTAACTGTAGAACGACTTCGTGGACTATGGAAATACCGGCATGAAGACCACAATTCATATGATCGTCTTGACTATATGGTCCCAATCTTTGGCTGGTTTCATCTGCTCATGGCACTGGCAAATTCCCTTCACAAGCAGTTCTTATGTAACTCAGCAACAACTGGGAGCCTACGGCATGCCTTTGATTTGCTTAGGCGCAAAAATCTAATCACTGCATCCACCAAGGGTCCTTTCTGGCACCATCTTGATGAGGCTTTGCACCATATTGGTGAGGCACATATCCGTGCTTGCTGGCTTGAGGCTGCTAAAGTCACTTCCCTGGCAATGCTCAAGTCAAAATCTCCAGCCGAGTTGCGGAGTTTGGCAAAGAGAATTGTTCGGGACTTTGCCTCTCGTGGTGCTATCAACGAAAATGATCTCCTCCCAGAACCAGAACAAGATGCAGTTTTCCATGAGTGGACTCTGTTCATTTATAGTGTTCTTCCGTATTTCCACTTGCGTCGAGCAATCCGCAGTGGAGATGTCGGTGTGATTGAGGACCTTCTGCCGACCTTGCTCTTACGGTTTGCCGGTGGCGGAAACTCAAAATATACTATTGAGATTCTTGAATTACTGCAGGGCTTAAAAAGGGAATGGCCAGAAGAATTTTGGTATGTGGACTTATAATCACAATTAATTGCAAATCTGACAATTTAATATAGCAATTATATCAGGAAATTCTGCTGGGTTATGTCACAGACAGGTGAACCAAACTCTTTTCTGCCTTTTGATCTGGCACAGGAACATAATATTTGTGATATTAAAGTTTGTCCAGCTTGTGATAATTGCTAGAATGCTTGCTCATTATCATAGGTCAATTTTCGAACACACTCTCCAAACACCACATTTGAATATATTGGCGGCATTTCACCAGCAATTCCTGCACTGCGTCAAGTACAGCGACATATGGAGAAGGAGTTTGGTACTGCTTCACGTGGCTCACATCATAGTATTCCCAATAAAGAGGCAGACGTGGCAAAGCTAACAGAGCATTACCGGGAATCCAGAATTCACGTCCAGACTCCCGGACGTGAAAACAAACACAAACCAGTCACAGATTTTATAACTGATGGGGCCATTGCACTTGAGGATGGTACAATCACTGATTGGTTTAAGCGTCGGAGCTATAAGCGGGCCACCGGTGAAGCACAGGTGTCAAATGATAATATGGATATAGATGGTAATTAGGAGATTAGCATTATAGTGAAGAATTATTTGTGTCTTGAGTATTGTAAAAGTGCATGCGTATACGATCAATCATAAACTGAGGATCAGGGAGTTCATATGCATCTAATGCTTCTTGATAGTCAGGATCATTGGGGTTGATAAATGGTAGAGTGAAAGGTGTAGTTGGATTTGGATCATGAAAGGAAGTGGAATAATAAGGTGGGTAGTAAGATAGTGGTGAAGGTGTGGGTGGGGCAGGACAGTAGGCTGGATAGTAAGGGATTGGTGTGAGAGGAGTAGTCGGTATCACTGGATATGTAAGGTATGGGGATGAGGAGGGAGACGGTGACATCCAAAGATTGGGTATTGCAGACGGCTGCAGAGGCTGTGCATGTTTTGCGCGGGACTTGCGAGCTGATTTAGGACGTGGTGTTTTTGTTTTGGCGGCTGCGGCTGCAGCCTTGCGTTCATCAATAACTTTCCGACGCTTTGCTGCCTCCTCTCGCTGCACCTCTGCTTCACGCTTTCTCGTCTCCTCCCGAGCCTGCTTGCAACGTGCATCATGCTCAGAGAGCAGTGTGATGACCTCGACACCATGCTTCATCGCATGAGTTTTGCTCCAGCCTGCTGCAATTAACTCTTCGATCGACGTCAGGCCTGTACGCTTGACTAACCGTTCGATGGTGTCAGCAGGGAGGAATGCCAACAACCCCCAGGGACGACGAGAATATAGCCTCCGCATCACGTCCGCGCGCCAGTCGGTAATGAGCTTAAGCGCCCCTGGACGATCTGCAGGTAGACGGTACTTGTAGCGCGCAGCCACGGGGGTAGGAGCCAATGAGACAGGGCCGGCGCTAGGGATATCCTCTGGCAGAGGCACCCCGTCACCGTTGTCGCAGCATGCACCTGTTGGAGCTGCTGAAATATCAGGATGAGTGTAATACAAGGACACATCAACTCACCAGCTCGCTCGACTCCACTGTCAAAGTATTCATCGACAACGTCCCTTCGGCAATTATCAGCCTCAACCCAGCTCCGCAAACCCGACTCGACAGTCTTCTGGAACTTGGTTTCCCCATCCTTCATCACCTCCTTGAAGACGCTTGGCTGCACCAAAAGAACAGCGCGTGCAGAGATTGTTGGGTTACGACCCGCACGGCCCGCACGCTGGAGCCAGATCGACAGTGAGCGTGGGACCATAAACTGGACGACGAGCTCAATATTTGGTATATCACAACCCTGAATGTGTATTAGTATAGGAAACAAGCAAGATCTTCACTTACCATACCCGCTGCTTCCGTCGCAAGCAAAATCTTTACTTCACCACTTCGGAAATGTGACATTGTGTCCTTTTTTCGAATACTCGCTGCGGCGAGAGTGGTATGCGGCGATTTGCGAGCTAACATCTGAATGAACAAGGGTGCGGAGGTGGGCAAGTGCATTGAGAAGTAGTATGATATCGTCAAAGAATATGATTGTTTGAGGAAGCCGCAAGTCAGTGTTCTGGCGGTTTTGCATGGGAATGACGAAGTCAAGTGCTTCGAGATCGGATTTTGCAGCCTTCATGTGGGTGACATACCATGCGATGTTGGGACGGTCAATGCCAAGGTGGATGTGAAAGGATTTGTGGGGAGAGATATGTAAAGCCTCGCGCAAGTTCGCGAGACCAACAGCCGTGAGGGTCGCTGTAACAGCGACGAATGGAACAGAGGCAGGGATGAAGGCTCGGAGGGTCCCGAGTTGGGCATATTCAGGACGGAAGTCCGGCCCCCAGAGGTCGATGAGATGCGCTTCGTCGATAATAAAGGCGCTGATCTTTTTGGCAAAGGTCGGGGAGCTAAGAAGGGTGCGGAATTTCCTGTTCTCCAATGCCATCTCGGGCGATGTCAGAATGACTTGGTAGCAGTTATTCTGGATAGCTAAGGCATGTTAGTGAGCTAGAGAATGTCGTGCAACACACCTTTATGGATACAGTCATTATAATTAGTGCCATTGACCGCAACAGCCGTCAGACCCATTTTCTCATAGCGGGAAACCTGGAATATCAGTCAACAACAACGGAAGAAGTACTGCAACACACCAAATCCTCCTCCAGTGCGTTCAACGGCGAGATAATGACGACAACACGCGCTGGATTGACGAGCAGCGGCATCACAAATGGGAGGCTCTTGCCCGCACCTGTGCTTGCGATGACTGTGCAGTCAATGCCCAGTATCATTGCCTCCCCAACATCCACCTGCCAATCCCTCGCTAGCATCCCTCCATTACGGTCCGCGATTTCGTTGCGTATCTTGGCGCGAGTGCTGGTAGAGTCGTAGCCAGTCGCTTTCGCAGCAATATCACGGGCATCTTGAAGAAGCTTTGCGGCTTTGACAGCATTACGGGCATGCTTGTCAAGCCGCGATTGGACGGCTGGCATCCGTTGCTTGACACGGAAGCCTCGCTGGACACGGCGATGGACAGATTGACGCGGGGAAGGTGTTGGGTCACAGTGGTAACGCCACGTGTGGGCGGAGATACGGCTTAGATTGACACTAGATACTGGTAAGATACAGGCCTAGATGACCATGCGCAACATCTCTGATCGAATTACACCAGACGTTATAGGGCGGCGTTTTTCATCACAATTCCCATCATTTTGTACCCCGGCAGTGTCAAACTGCTGTTCCGCCGGCTCCGCGAAGCAGAGTCGCTCGCGCAGCGAGCCAGCCGCCCTACGGACGTCTGGAAACGAGACTAGGGGTCCCTCGCCCGCGCCGCCGCATCACGCCGCCCGATCTGGCGCGCCTTGCCCCATCCGGATGTATATGCGAAGCGCGTGACGCGCCTCAGGACACGCGTTCAAGTTGCAATGTGGCGCGGACCGCTATCTTATCAATGCAGTCACGAGCTCGGGCACAGTTGACAGCGTACCCGGAGATGAGTACCAGGATGAAGCCACGCACCTGTGGGACGGCTCCCACGAGGCAACGGCCCACCGTTCTTTCTCTCGAACTCTGAGCATGCCGCGCACACAGACCGTGAATCTCTATGGTGTGCCCTCCTGCTCTGAAGCGCTTTGTATGCACCGACTTGACTCAGGTGGACATGGTGGCCAGGGTGGCCTCAGCCAAACTGGAATTGCTGGTGGTGGTGGGGCTGGGCATGGTGCCAGCCTCGACCTATCCCACAGTCACATCGAGAGGTGTGCTAGCTTGACAATAATTCTTTCTCCACCACTCAGCACACTGGCATTTCTAGGCTCAGACTACACTATCACTCTACACAATCAGTAGATGGTGAGTGATCCATGAAGGCTCTTCCTAGTCCAATAAATCTCCAACTTGTGGCAGACAATGACAAGGCATTGGAGGAGATCTTCGCCTGGATCTCACCAATCAACTCTTTTAGGGATCAGGAGATTATTAGTGAACAACGTGCAGAAAATACTGGTCACTGGATATTGCAAGATCGGAAATTCCAGACATGGAGATCTTCAAGGGGACAGCAGATCCTCTGGTGCTCAGGCATCTGTAAGATCACAACCTCCGGTTCTGGTTACATAGCTGACTAAACTATATACAGCAGGTGTAGGGAAGACTGTTCTTGTGTATGATTGTTTGCCCACTTGTCCTCTTTCTAAATCATTCCAGATCTGGAGTTGTTGAGTATCTTTTGCAGCAAAGTCAGGATGGTAATATAGGCATTGGATGGGTGTACATCAATTACAAGAGCTCAGAGGTTCAGACACACAGAAATCTACTTGGTGCCCTTTCTCGGGCTCTAGCTTCTGAAGACAACTTTGTGTCTGTAAAAGCCTTATATGTTAATCACAAGAAACATGGGACCAAGGGAACTGTTGCAGATATAAAGAAGCTACTCAAAGATCAAATCAAGGCTTCACAATATAAAACAGTATATATTATTGTTGATGCACTTGATGAGTACTCTGGAAACAAGAATGTCCTTATACGAGACCTTCTGCAACTAGGAAATAACATTCAACTGATGATAACCTGCCAACCTCACATTTATCAACCATCTAATATATCAATTTCCACTCTGGTCATTCATGCACATAACAGTGACATTGAAGCATATATTCAAAAAGAAATTCAAGATAGTGCAACCCTCCAAACATTTATATCACAAAAGCCTAGTTTGAAACATAGTATTCTCTCCCAAATTAAACAGAAAGCAGATAAAATGTAAGTTATGTATATCATGTAATATTATTAAGAGAGTTCAACTTGAGTTCTAACAGGTTCCTTGTGGCTAGGCTACAACTCCAGTCTTTGCTTGCAGCTTTAACACTGGAGGAGCTTGAACAGTGTTTGCAGGATTTGGGAGCCAATCTGGAGGAAAATTATGAATACACAATGAGACGCATTGAGCTGAAGAGTTCAAAAGAGAAACAATTAGCACTTATGACTCTTGGCTGGGTTACTTTTGCCAAACGACCATTGACAATTGAGGAGCTCCAGATAGCTCTTTCTATCCATGATGACACACCTACTCTTCCAGCAAAAGACATCACCAAATTGGGGTCAATGTTGAAGGTTGATTGCAGCCTGGTTGTGGGCTTGAAAAGTAGTTGTTTATCTCCGCAACCATTGGAGCTGTATGATGAGTAGGTTGAAAGGAGATCTCCAAATTCACAAGACATGACAATATCCTTGCAACGGCTTTTCATGATGGTAAAGCTTTGGTTAGATTGAAGGAACCAGTACATCTAGCACTGACTTGTTCGCAACAACCAGAGTGTTGGCTATTACAAGCTCTTTGTTTAGCCATGCCAGTCCCCTACTGACATACAATGGGCCAGCAGTCTTTCTTGAACTTATGACGAAGCACTGACCTGTTTTGCACTTATTGTAGCTAATGTATGCTAATGACATGGAATGCTGGTGAAAGCTTACAAGTCAGCGAAGTATTTTGCATGTTTTTTGGCCTCCACAAAGCTCAGAACTGATCCTTAGTCGCGTCAACAGCATAGGGCGCTTGCTGGCCCACCATATTTCAAAAAGGTGCATATGCGTTCATTGGTACAGACGACAGGCACACCGTTAATGACTAAGACTAGAAAGAGAAACGACACTGATGCGCGTGGATGATACGATGGGCCTGATGGCGCTGGAAGAATAGAACGAAAACTATTGGGAAATCAGTCAAGATATCAAAGGAAAGCAACAAGCATACGTCAGGCTGGGAGGCGTTGGCATGGCTGGGCTTATTGGGGCGTGTTCTTGTCAGCAGGTTGTTGAGAGGGTGGTGGCTGGGAGTGCGCTATGGGCGCCCCGCTGTCTGCAAGGTTGCTCGTGTTGGGCAGTCTCCCCAATGCCGCCCGGTGGCGGGTTTGAATGACAGCTTCGTCGTCAGTGGGGCTTTCATCGCCGTCGGATGCGTCGGCTTCAATAGGATCACCAAAAGCCCTCCTTGAAATTGCATTAGTAGAGAGAACAGCAGTAAAAGAAAAGAAGACGGACTCGGTTAACCAGTCTAGAGTTTCCTGACCCCAGTCAGGAAGATCTGGGTTCGAGTCGTCCTCAAAGGCCTTGATAACTTTCTTGTAGAGGTTGGTGAATTTGTAATGCTTGCTCTCTTTGGTGGACCATTGAGGCACACTGCTCATTGCGATCCGCATCTCGAAACGTCAGTAAATGAGAAGAAAGAGGCGGGGTTCCTATCTGCACAACGACGTAGGCCACGATGGGGGCCGTCACCTTGTAGGTGTTATGTATGGCAGCCAGGCAGCCTGAGGAAACTTCGTCATCCGCTTCATGACTGACATCGGTTCTTGTAACAAAAAGAAGGCGAATGCCCTGTTGCTTGTAGTCAGATTAAGCCAACGTTGCGGAGGACGGCCTACTCTGACTATGCTTACGTTCCGGAAAAGATTTCGCTGGTAGGCTTGCGAATCCCAACCCCCGTCAGGATAACAGAAGGAGGGAAACCTGTTGGCTGACGGCGCGTACTTGTTAGAGATGATCTTGTTGTTGATTCTGGAGAAAATCAGCCAGGAAAGACGGAAGCAACGGGGCATACAGCTGAGCTTCTTCCCTACGGAGAGAAGAAGATAAGAAGAGGAGAGCGGGGTAACAAATCACTGACGAAAGAGCAACGGCGGGTCTGGAGATGAATGAGACGTCATAAGAAATGGTAGGGGAGGCGTACTCTGGTGGTTTGCCATAAATAAGGGGGGGAAAGTGAACACGATCTTTCCAAGGCATTATGAGCATCCGAAGCTGAGGGTGGGCCATTCCGCGGCGAGACTTGCTGACCCCCACCTCAATGGGTGGGTAGAAGAAATCGGAGCCAGGTATGGGCAGCAGAATCCGTAAGTTATTCTTGAAAGTGTTGGTGTCTTGTGTTCTAGCGTCACGAGCGGCCTTGGCCAGCTATGAAGAAGAGGTTGTTAGAAGGTTAAGGCCTCTTTGACCTTTGAGGACGCACCCTTGCTCCA